GACACTAAAGTACATAGAGGGTATTATGGGTTCATGCTGAGTCAACCTTCTTCGTGATTCTGATATGTCTGTCCAAAGTGCAGAATAATTGAGGCAACGAAAATTTAGCATTAGTGGAGCCAAAGACCCCACTAAAAATCAACACACAAATCCCAACAGGTAAAGTTAATCAACTGGCCCTAAACTAATGCAAAGAGTGACAGAAGTAGCCACAACCCAAACTAACACACCGACAAAAGTGCCGAGTGTTGTAAACGCCGCATTATCTGTTAAGAGTACGCAGCAGCAGGTGGGTATGAAAAAGGGAAACAGTAACACTACAAGTCGAACAATGCCACTAATCATTGAAATGTATATTAGACCAAATTCACTGATTTTATTCTGTGTTCCAGTGTTCGAGAGTAGCGAACTAAAAGGTAGGGCTACCTTCGGTAAAGAACAACAGGACAAATACTCTGCAATCATCGAAGTGATCAGTACCCAGCCAAAATATGCCGTCTGTTTAAAGGTTCAAAACATCATAGCTTGCCGAAGATATCCTTCTCACACTCCAGAGACCCCTAGTTACATTGTCCTCCCCGACCCGTGTCAGGCACGGCAAAACGTGGTCAGTATGGGTAGCAGCCAGAACATTACAGGGCACTAAAGAGCAAACCACTATTGTACTTCATGATGTGCCCGAATTGGTTATTGGTAACTTAGGCGAATCTCATGCGCTTGACGTGCATCAGTAGCGACGGCCATCATGTAGCACGAGCCTTCACACCACTGCCGTAAGCATTCACCAGCTGCCTTGTCCGTCACATCTCATGACCATTAGGATATCAAGTATAATGGCTGTGGACTTTGAAATTCGGGAAGGCCTAACTGATTTGCTTGAGGTTTGGTGAAGCTCGAAGAACGATCTCTCTAGCCATATATGGTTTGGCAAAAGCAGACCCAGATCTGTGTAACAACAAAAAGGAGGCAAAAATAAGTGCCCGCAAATCACAGTTATTCTCGATCAACAACCCTCGACACAATACACGAAAATAATAGTGTCGCTGACTGAACGTACTGCACAGCCATAAAGCCTGAAGATGCCAGGTCCTACAGAACTCGCCAGTTCTGTTAGAACATTTTTTTTGGAAAACCGACAACGGCTGCTGCTGCAGAGTTGCCCCGGGGGATGAGACAAACCACGAAGTGCCTCTGCAGCAACGTAAAAGCATTAAAGGGCAAGTGAAACGTGGCTATCCCTCGTCATTGCAGTTCACTTCCACCCAGTATTTCAAAATTATTCCGATTGAGCGTATGTCATTCACACCGACAACTAAGGGAAGTACAAAGAACAATAGAAAGTGCTTAGAAGCTTGACCCTCTCGTCAATCAATAATCATGAAAGAAAATCGTCTATATGCCTCACGGCCGTTGGAATGGCGGAGACAGACAGTAGATGACCACTGGCAAACAGTGAGCGACATCATCCAGAATGCTGTCCGAAGCAACGCACCTCAGGCAAATCACACACACGGAGACAGAATAACATGGGTTAGATGCGGCACTGAACGCTTGCCTCAGGTGAAAAGGAGAGCCAGGCACACGTTAAAGGTCTCTTAGAATTGAGAAACAGACGCAACACTAAAGTTCGAAGTGATAGAAGACGCTTTCAGATAAAACTAGCTGTCCAAATATAGGCGAAACGAAGCCCTGAAGATCAGGGTTTGTGTTCCCTCAAAGGTCGGAACATAGAGGATCTCATCAACTTAGAGATGGCTAAGCTTTTCAACACCCATTCCGAGGATCAGCTAAACAATATATCCCCATGTTCAGAGTACTACTCAAACCCAATTCCAGGTAACGGCTTAGGAAATATCTGACATCATCCTGACCTAGTACTAAGGAAACTAAAATCCTTGAGTCCAAGAAAGTCACCATGATGTGACAATATTCGCCCCATGGTCTGTTCCTAGATCCTATACCAATTCGTTGAGCTTAATATTTTCCAGTCAAAGTTCATCACCAGGTGAGAGGAAATTCATTACTCTTAATGTTAACGGGGATTCGTTTAGATTACAAATAGATACCGCATTAGATGTCATCACACTCCCACGTAAGATTTGGACCAAATCGTGCAGCTCAAGCCTGCAGCAGACAACACAGAAACCTCATACTGCATATGGTAATTACCTTCGTCTTTTAGAACAATAGTCTCAGTTCACCAATATGTGACCTGTTCGGGCATTCACTAAAGGTCAAACCAATAAACAGCTGAATGGAAACAAGCTACTCTGTCCATTCTTCGAAGGAGTGGATGAAAAGGACCCAGTCTGTTACACGCCGGTCGCTTTTCTACCAAGACTATTGAAGGTAATGGAAATGCTGGTGGAACAGAGGGTGACAGGGTACATGGATAAAAACAAAATACTCCATGAAGCTCAACACGAGTTCTGGACTACATAGGGGACTCAGCCAAGGCTAATGAAACTCTTCACCTCATGTCGAGACAGCTTGCTGCTATCACCCCATAATTATTCTTAATGCTGTTTAAGACATATGTTCGCTGACACCCTGAGGTTCACAACGTCTTCTTAGAACCTCCCACATAAAGGAGACATAAATCTCTTGTGTCGAGTGCAGAGACAAGCAACGAAATGGGTGATATGGTTGAAGAATTAGGCATACAACGATAGATTCCGGCATTTGGGATTATAATCCATGAGATACAGACGAATCAGAAAAGATTTGATTATGGCGTACAACATATCAAGCACTTAATCGATGCATCACCATCACTCCCCCTCGAGGTAGTCTTCGATAAATTGCGCAAGAAAATTATGATATCTTCATCATGCTTCATAGATAAACAATTTGAACAAAGTATAGTTGTCTCAATTGTATTGTTTATTGAAATATGAATAAATCTTTCAGTGGTTGATCATTCTCTCTATTATATATATATATATATATATATATATATATATATATATATATATATATATATACATATATATATATATATGTGTCCGGTAACGATGTCAGTGTTGATGTTTTACAGACTAGTTAATTTACATCGAAATCAAGTCGAAAGTATCACACAACACAGTGGATTTATTTACGTTGTCCATACGAAATCGCATGACAAATTACACTTGAAGTAATTACAGCCTGAATTTAATATGAATGAAACTTGTCTGTTGTTCTTTCAGATAATATAAAATAATTTTATTGATTTTCACACTGTTTTTTACGGTGATTAATTAATTGTTGTTTTTTAAAAAATAATATCGAAATGTCATACAATAATTATTTTTTTGTGTTCGAAAGAGAAATTTTGTTTTAAACATTTTCATGAATGAACAACTAAAACAATGACTCATCAGTTCATACATAACCTGTTAATCTCATTTTAGATTTAAATGAACTCATTCTTTCTAACACGTAACATAGTCGTCAGGTTTCAATTGATTTCGAAGAAGTTTTGTATCAATAAACCGTAAAATATCATCTTAGATGAATCATTTTACTGATCATAGTGATACCATTTTATTGTGTAATCTTCTACAGCAATAAAAAAACTAGTTTACTAGTTAGCCATTCATTTAAATCGCACAAGATTAGTTAAAGTTTGAACACAGAATTTTGTAATTCAGTGTTAATATAATTCAATGTGACTTTTGTTTTCTGGAGTCTGTCTGGTAGATTTCTGTTGAGTCCTGCGTAAAACAACATTCAAGTTTAGTGATTAGATGTAGACTGATTGTTCCTGGTAAAGTTTTGAAAAATATCAAAATGTTTATGTGAACTGATTGTTTAATGACTCAATGAAAATGTATGTATGTCTTATTGATAAGTATTAGTTTACTGGAAGTTAAACTAACAGCAATGTTATTGAATGTCTCCACGTGAACATTCAAATAATGTAGATAGGTCAAGTGGGTAAACGCGAAATAGGATGAAGTGTGTAACAAGAATTCCGTCGCTACTCACAAAGCAAACACTCACACGTGTTGTGACTGATAGGCAATTTCGAAGAGGATAATGAATTACGGAGTTTATTACAGACATCAAGTGAATATTATTACATGCAAAACAATACGAGGAAACTACTTATGAAGAATCAGAACAACAATAGAACAGCTCTTTCAAAATCGATAGAGGAATTCAATGAGATCCATGGAAACTTTGATTGTGAACGATTGGTACAGTGACGAAGTGAATCGGATGTTGACGAAGATGTCAAGTGTATACAGTGTCTGATGGTTCCCAGCCAATGTTCACCTCACTGAATTAAATGGGAATAATTGTGAATTCAAAGAAGCATTTCAATTCGACGGAATCACACTGAATGAGGAAGGCGATGAGGATGGAGAAACGTTTGTGACAATAGAGACGGTGATGTGACAATTGTTTTGAAGGTGATAGAAATGATTCTACCGAAATTCCATGAAACATGCTTCTCATGACTGCAATTTCAAGAGCTAATGCAAAGACGCTTTGACTTGGTCAGTTGAACGTGGATACTGTAGATGTTGATGAATAGTTGTAATGTTAATCAGGTACTATAATCGCTATTGATACTTTGAATACATAAACTGAATGTATTGTTAGATTTTTTCTTCTTCAACTGTTCAGATGTTTATGTGTATTGTGTCGTTGTGTCACAAAACATCTTTGTGGTTTCTATCGTTAACGGCGTTTGATTTCGGTTAGACACGTCGTCTTGTAAAGTTTAACTTTGTATATTAATTTAAAATGACTGAATATTCGAACATTTCCAATCCGATTCAAACAATTGTGCGTTTCCATTTTCAATTCTCTGTTTCAGACATTCAACTTTTCAGCATTTGTTTACGAGGAATGTTAAGTAGAATGTTTTGAACTAAGACTAGCTCAATTTAATATTTTATCTATTTAATTCGCTAACACTATGTTGTTTTGAAAAAGAAGTCACAGTTTGAATGGTTGCATTTGATTGGTTAATTGCTGAAAGACAACACAATAAATAATCAAACTATACTATTTTTAAATGAATAGAGAAGTTGAAACATTTGATTGAAATGATGAAACAAATGATTACTGCACTTTTATGTTGTTTTCTTATCAATTTTGAAAAGATTCACGCTTCAGGTCAAATTTCGCATGGTCTTTATCCTCGAGTAATACTAATTTCTCTGGATGGATTTCGTTACGATTACTTTGAAATGGCTAGAAAACGAAATGTTAACATTTCAACATTTGAAAAGATCCAAGAACGTGGAGTTGGGATTATGCGTATAGAAAATGAATTTCCAACGTTAACATTTCCATCACATTTTTCAATGGTCACAGGTCTTCATCCTGAAAGTCATGGAATAGTAGACAATGCGTTTTATGATCCACTTCTCAACGTAACGTTTTCATCGAGAAATCAGTCAACAGCATCAGATTCTAGATTCTACGATGTCGGTGCTGAACCGATTTGGATAACGAACCAGTTTCATGGGTACAAAACTGGAATAACTTTCTGGGTTGGAAGTGAAGCTAAAATTAAAGGCCAGTTACCCACTCACTATCTGACACCATACAATCAGAGCATTACATTCAATCAGCGAGTTGACACTTTGATGGGTTGGTTTGATAATGATAACATTAATCTCGGTCTTATTTATTATCATCAACCCGATAGAGCGGGACATATTTATGGAGCAGCAAGTGATGAAGTTTTCAAGGCTATTGAAGAAATCAATCATGGACTGGATTACCTGCTCAAATCAATTGAAAAGAGACCATGGCTTAGTTGTTGTCTCAATGTCATTATATCAAGTGATCATGGGATGGTAAATGTCAGTTCAGATAAAGTTATATATCTTCATGACTACATAAAACCGGATGAGTATATGTCAGCGCCTAAACTGTCAGCAGAAATCTGGACGATTTGGCCAAAGCCAGGTAAGTCACATGATCAAAAATCATGATCAAATATGTTAGGAATCACTGCGCAATCATTGTATGATAAATTAAAGGACCGACACTGCAGGTTGAATGTCTATCTGAAGGAGCAACTACCCTCACGCTTTTATTACACATCGAGTGATCGAATTGGTCCAGTGATTATGTATGCAGATCTTGGATGGACGATCATTGCTGATAGATATTCTGGCATAAAATTGAGTAAGTCAGCATTGATTAATGTACATAAAATGTAACTGAAGTAAAGATTTTTTATCACATATGAATTAAATCACTGTGAACCATGTGAAATCGAATAATTTGTTATTGCCTTAGCAGCAATCTTTGCAGATATTTTATCAAACTATGAACGAAACACTTTGAAAATAACATGAATTCCTTTTATTCCATGCACTATTTCTAATCCATAACAAGTAGTGTTAAATTACAACATTCTGCAATAAATGTATAAATAAAGATATGAACTAATTATAGTTTACAGCAGATTTGAGACAGGTGTTTGAAGCGTAAATAAAGCTCATGGTAAGATGGATGATATATAACATTGTAAGGATATAATTGAAAACAGTGGAAAATGGTGTGTGTTTCTGTAATGAAAAAGCAGCTAGCTATGCAGAGTAGATGATGTTCACTGTTGTTGCTTTCTTCAAATCGAAGGAAAATATTAGAATACGTTGGGAAATCGAAATTAGGAGAGAGATTCCAAAGCAAAATAGATTGAAGTGAATTTTTTTAAAGTCATGAACGGTACTTTGAAATATGGCATTACGTATTTCTTCATACCGTACGGAGTTTTGTTTATTTTTAAATAGCCTAAACCATGCAGACACTGTAGACTTAGCACATCTGATATGTTTCCAACTTGTATCTTGATCATTAATTTAAAGCTAATGATTTCAGTTTGATGGTGAACAAAGAAATATGTAGAATCCGGTTCAGTTTGACCACTTCATACTAAATTGTAATTATGATTTCAATAATTGTATTGAATTTATCCAGATGAATAACAAATGATCGAGTTATTGAGACAATATAAATATCATTCTTGATAATGTGTTCTCTTGAGAAAAAATCCACATGATATTCATTAATGAAAGCTTTTAAGCTGGTGTTTGCAAGATCAAAGTGGAATTATTGAAATGAATGCTCACGCAATCTTATCTCACATTATCCCTAAATTAAGGCGAAAATATGAATGCAGATGGTAAGATTAGAATTTATACAACTGTTAGGTAGTTAAAAATCTCTGATTTTTTCAATTCAATTATATTGTCAGCTGTTTGCTGTATAAAATATTCCTAGAAGTTCAATTGTATTTCAAAATTATTCATCTTGATGACAAAATATTCAATCTCATCATGCATCATCAAAACTGTAATAGATGATGTCAAAGCGACATTGAAATATTAAAGTCTTTGCATTTTTATAAGAATACTGAAATATCTATTTTAATTTTAATTGTCTGTTGTTAGAAAATAAAGGTTCTCATGGATATGACCCGGACAACAAAGAGATGTCTCCATTTCTATTGGCAATGGGACCTCTGATAGCCAAAGGTCAAACAAGAAAATTAAAAGAGACAATCAAGCTCATAGATTTATACTCACTGATTTGTCTGATGCTGAACTTGAAACCTGCTCCTAATAATGGCAGCGTTGATCGAGTTCTTCCCTTGTTGAGATACGTAAGTGTTTTCTAGTTCAAATATCATTCAAATATCATTCAGATATCATTCAATCCATTTTATACTACTACTGCTCATGATATATTTATGACTAAGACAGTAACTCTGTTTTCGATGCATTCGATTTGAACGGAATTATTGATGGTATTACTAAACCATTGAAACATTCATTGAAACAAGATTAGTTTATTGAATAACATCACTTTTTGAACAATATCATTTATTAAATATGTACAAACATTTTTAAAGCTTAGTTTGTATAATGAAAATTTTTGGAATTGTTTACAATGCTATCAAATTTTAACCAAACATCCAGTGTTCAACGAACGATAATATGGACTAAATTAACAGATAAAATAAATAGGAATCATAGTTGTTCCCTTTCGGAATATGCGTCAAAACGATCTTCTTCTAAAATAGAGAATCATGACAAATTAACCAACTGAACTTATCGTCTCTGAACATAAAGGCCAATCAAGTTAGTATTGGTCAACTACCAACGACTCATGTAAACGTAAATGTATTATTCAACCTGAGAATCGATTTGTTTGAGTGTGTGAATAACCTTTGAATGAAGATTCTAGACTATGCACATAACTAGAATCAAGCACATGTTCAAAAATGGTACTAATAACTGACTTTAAATAATAATGCTTGGATGAAATTGATATATGCATTTGAATGAACTTATATCTATTTTTTTATGGTCTTTTGTGTGAGGTGGAAGGGATGGGTGTCTAATGTGAAAATTGTAATGTGATTATCATCAGATTGAATAGTGTCTTTATGAACTCGACTTTACTGTCTAATAAAACAGCTATTTAGGAAAACTAATCAAATTCGCAAATAAATACTCAGGCAATAGATAACTCTCCGATAACTCACCTTGAATATTAAGATTTTCTATGTTAGAAATCTGATGAATTGGTTTATTTATTAACAACTGATTTTTTATTGTGCATCATTATTATTGTAAACGATTTGTCAAGTTTTATGCATTAATCATCTACAAAATAATCCCCCACACTAAAAGAAAAATTAAAGTTGAACTCATCACTCATCAAGTACGTTCAATTGGTACGACACAAACGATGCCTATTTTCACAACATATTAGTCAGTATGCATTTAGCGAAATAAAGGTTATCTCTCAACCTATTTCATATCGAATAAATACATTTGTTGACATTAAATTTGTCACAAAGGTTTATTGGGAAATTTATATTTTCCAAATTAACATACTGTGTTGTTGGTATGAGTGAGTCAACTACATATCGTTTATGCTTAATGATGACACGTTGAATTGCAAATTAACTCAATGAAAATGTTATTTAAACTCATTAGATTGTTTGTCAATCAATTTATTAATCAATGTTAACTGCTGTATGAAATTATTTTCAAAGCGTCACAATTGTGCAATCAATATAAACGAGAATCTTCATTAATTAATGAAAGATGATGACACATAGAGCAAACTTTGTTTCAATTGACGATAAGAATTTTTGCTCATTTGGCAAATTTTCAATTTTCATTACATATTGACGCAGAAAATGACATGTGTTAATTGAGTGTTTTGTGTAGTTTTAAATCGATTGAGTTGCTTGTTCACAGTGTGAAGATGAATTTATTATTATTTCTATTTTAATCGATATGAGTTAATATGACTCTCCCCTTGTAGTACTGTGTTCTTTTTCCGATTAGAGTTAGAGAGATTGTTGTTGATAATTGCAATAATGAATCAATCATTTTAGGCCATCATCAGAACACTGAAATCACTGGACAGTCGTGTCGTCCACGACTCTCTGGATTCACACCCAAGATCTTCGATGTTGCGCGTGCACACCTAACCTGTGGACCACTATGCCGTAATCTAACTTTGTTCATTTGAAACTCTGATCGATTTAGGGATTATGGGTGATCACACTCATTTGTCTTTGATAATTACTCCCTGAGGAATTGCACTCCATTGGTGACATCATGGATGCGCACTGCCAATGTGTACCATATCACGACACACTGGTTGTCCAATGCTTCAAAGATTTCTAATGGTGGTCTAACAATCGATTCATGATTCATGTGTATCATGTTTGTGTTTGTTTTGATTATCTCAATTTATAATGATCATTGTTTATAATGATCATTAGTTTATTTTGCCACCTAATTAATTATCAACACATTATTTGTTTTCTGTTTAAATTTCAGGGAAGTATGGCTAATATCAATAGATCATCTGCATCAATAATCATCAACTTTGTTATTTTTATGTATTTTTATATGAAATAACGGATTATGCTGTTGTTTTTTTAATTTTCGAGAATAGATATTTTTATTTTATTTTTTGAAAAATAGAAAGAAAATATCACAAACATTTGTTCATTTCACATGAATTCTATCGCTATTGTTAATTATTACGATTATTATGATTATGATTATTTTTATATTGGTGAAAACAAAACAATAGTTCAACTTTTGTCTAAAATATTCAAAATTGTTTTGTTTTAATTGGATGATGATGAATTTGTTTAAACAATTTCAATTTTCAATATTTATTTATGCAGTATGATGTAAATCAATTGTAAAAGATGATTATTATTCTTAGTTTCCTTTGAAATTGTATTTGATTTTTGTTACAAAATTATTATCGTGTGTATACAGTACACATAAAAAAGTGGATATTGTTTTTTCGACCGATCGATCGATCGATCATTTGGATTAGCGAGAATGTATGAGTTTTACAGAAGTTATTTGATTGTCATGTGAATTGTTGAAATTTGTATAAATATGAGAAATTCTGTGAAGGAATAAATTTTTTTTTTCAAAAACACTGTTGAATGATTGAAAAAGCTGTAGAAAGATAATACGTAGTTTCATTGTGACTTATAGAAAAAAGATCTTGGTTACATGAAGACTTGGTAACGTATGCACATGGACTAATGCACGTTTATCCACACATTGTTTTGAATTTTTTTCATTGATATACACATGATGCAATTGTCAATTAGTCTGTCTCTGTTCATTATTACCATTGAATGATTTATTCGGATTGTTCGTGTTTTTAATTTACCTACCATAAACAACATTTTAATGTCCACTAAAAACCTTATTCTGATTTGATGCAAACTAGTTTTGACGAGTTAAACACTTTTGATATTAATGTGAATCGTTCAAACGAGAGCATATTGTTTTCACCTAATCTTTTCAAACATTGATGTGAATCTTTAGACCATTATCAATTCAAAGTTGTGATATGGATAATGTTGAGTGTTTGCACAGAAGAGAAGTAACCGTGAACTTACAAGATGATATTGTAATGCAAAGTTAGAAATTCATGCCAACTGCTGATGAATTTCGCTATTCCCATGAAGTTTATGATATCTTCATCATGTTTCATAGATGAACAATTTAAACAAAGTATTTTTATCTCAATTGTATTGAACAGAGAAATGAGAAGACATATTTTTTGAGATAGTACCATTTCGTGCTTTCTCGTCAGTCACATACAAGCAACATGTTATTTGTGTAAATACAGTTTTGAAGATAAGGTCAAAATTTCTTATTTAGCATGACATTCAGTCACTAGAACCATGGTAAACAAAGGTCAACATACAGTTGTTTTTGAACACATAAAGTTGGACTTTTACGACCAATCAAGATAGCTTCGTGTAGTTTCATTTTGTGTGGGTTTTGATGACATGTCACAACTCTAAAAGGGTCAATTTGATGACCACTCATCATTAGATGTTTTGCAATGGACGAGGCTGGGTTTCTTGATCGATTTTGAGATGACGGGCTAGGTTGATTAATCATGGATTTGAATAACCATTTTGGAATATGTTCCCCTATCCTGTCTTCCAATCGGCGATCTGTCCTCCCTAAGTAACTTTCTCCGCAGTTACATGTGAATTGGTAAATACAGTGGGATTTGAACTGAATCGGTCTTGGAGACTTGATTGGGGTAACTGAGATCGATTGAGTTGATGTGATAAGCCTCAGATTAGCTGCATTGAAGGTCTTTTTTATTGCAGCTGCAGTCTGTTTGGTTGTAATTTTGATGCAATGATCACCCTTGAAATGTAACTGTAGGTACACTGGTTTCTTGGGTACATCAGTTGCTATCAGCTTCGTCGTAGCTGTGTTCTGATGACCAATAAACGTTTCGGGATATCCGTTTGATTTAAGTGTCTCAGTAATAAGCTTGAATTCGTCGTTCAATGTATCAGCAGTGCAGATTATACTTGCTCGAGCGAATAAAGTTTTGACAACAGAAAGTTTATATTGTATGGGGCAGAGACCAGCGAAGTGGAGGTACTGTCCCGACCAGGTGGGTTTTCGGTGTACTTTTCTTCTGATTGATCGGTCTGGACGGCGATGGAGCAGGATATCGAGGAAAGCTAGTTCATTAGTCATTTCTTCCTCATAAGTGACTTTCAGATTCGGGTGAATCGCATTAAATCAATCATTGATTTCACAAATATCTGTAGAATTTGGTAATATGACAAGAATATCGTCGACATATCGTTTGTTCAAATTTATCAAAAGGGACCACTGTTTTCAATTGTATTGTTTATTAAAATATGAATAAATCTTTCAGTGGTTGATAATCCCCCCTGATATACATATGTATATATATATTTGTCTGGTAACGATGTCAGTGTTGATGTTTTACAGACTAGTTAATTTTAATCGAAATCAAGTCGAAAGTATTGTTACGGCGATTAATTAATTGTTATTTTTTAAAAAATAATATCAAAATGTCACACAATAATTATTTTTTGTTTGAAAGAGAAATTTTGTTTTAAACATTTTTCATGAGTGAACAACTAAAACAATGACTCATCAGTTCATACATAATCCGTTAATCTCATTTCAGAAGTAAACGAACTCATACTTTCTAACACGTAACATAGTCGTCAGGTTTCAATTGATTTCGAAGAAGTTTTGTATCAATAAACTGTAAAATATTATCTTAGATGAATCATTTTACCGATCATAGTGATACCATTTTATTGTGTAATCTTCAAGAGTATTAAAAAGCTAGTTTTCCTGTTAGCCATTCATTTAAATCGCACAAGATTAGATAAAGTTCGAACACAGAATTTTGTAATTCAGTGTTAATATAATTCAATGTAACTTTTGTTTTCTGGAGTCTGTGTGGTAGATTTCTGTTGAGTCCTGCGTAAAACAACATTCAAGTTTAGTGATTAGATGTACACTGATTGTTCCTGGTAAAGTTTTGAAAAACATCAAAATGTTTATTTGAACTGATTGTTTAATGACTCAATGAAGATGTATGTATGTCTTATTGATAAGTATTAGTTTACTGGAATTTAAACTAATAGCAATGTTATTGAATATTTCCACGTGAACATTCAAACAATGTAGTTAGGTCAAGTGGGTAAACACAAAAGAGGACGAAGTGTGTAACAAGAATTCCGTCGCTACTCACAAAGCAAACACTCACACGTTTTGTGACTGATAGGCAATTTCGAAGAGGATAATGAATTATGGAGTTTATTATAGACATCAAGTGAATATTATTACACGCAAACAATACGAGGAAACTACTTATGAAGAATTGGAACAACAATAGAACAGCCCTTTCAAACTCGATATATGGATTCGATGAGATCCATGGCAACTTTGATTGTGAACGAATGGTACAGTGATGAAGTGAGTCGGATGTTGACGAAGATGTCAAGTGTATACAGTGTCTGATGGTTCCCAACCAATGTTCACCTCACTGAATTAAATGGGAATAATTGTGAATTCAAAGAAGTATTTCAATTCGACGGAATCACACTGAATGAGGAAGGCGATGAGGATGGAGAAACGTTTGTGACAATAGAGACGGTGATGTGACAATTGTTTTGAAGGTGATAGAAATGATTCTACCGAAATTCCATGAAACATGCTTCTCATGACTGCAGTTTCAAGAGCTTTTGCAAAGAATGTTTGACTTGGTCAGTTGAACGTGTATACTGTAGATGTTGATGAATAGTTGTAATGTTAATCAGGTAGTAAAATCGCTACTGATACTTTGAATACATAAACTGAATGTATTGTTAGAATTCCTCTTCAATAACTGTTTAGATGTTTATGTGTATTGTGTCGTTGTGTCACAAAACATCTTTGTGTGTGCAGTTTTTATACTAATCGAATTCTCGATCAGGCCTGTATTACTTGAATTCAATAAATTCTATTTATACATTCTACTGGATATATATATATATATATATATATATATATATATATTCTCATTATACATTCTATCACCAAACATCTAACGTTATTCTCAATTAAGAAGAGTAAAACGATTGATACAGATTTTTTTCAATTACTTGGTTCAACGAAACAATTTCAATCTTTGAAATAATAAAAAAGGAGACAAATTAATTAGTTTCAAAAGTGAATATTTGCTGTTAAATTTTATTGTATTGAACTGATCGAATTAAAACCTTATAGTTTCCAAATTGTAAATATATTAGTTTTGATTAATACCGAATTTACGATATATATATATATATATATATATATATATATATATAGGTTCTTGTGATTTCCTAAATGATCACATTTAAACATACAGTGGTAATGACCAACTAAAATGTTATGCGACCCCTTGTACCATGTACGGGAATTAAGGTTTTATCTATGAATGAAATGTTGAATACGAATGGAATTGATTCAATAAATTGATTAATTATCAGTGCAATAAAATAATAAACAATACGAGTATTCATTGAAATGAAATCAGAAACAGTCATTTTTAGGAGTATTAATGTACCAAAAGATGATGATGCATATGACCATATACTCTTTCATATATGTATTATAAAAATTGTAGTTAGCTAATAAAGACTACACTAGAAACATTTAATTGTAGTCCGTGAACATTGAACTGGCCGGTTCGTTATTGTTTTAGTTAATTCTTTGATTTAGTATCAATGCAAGAAGTATTAGTACTTCAATCAAAACATTCTGTGTCCATAAAATTTATTTGGTTGACATGAATCAAAATTTACTCTGAAATCGTGTCATTGTGAAGAATATGTTGTGATGAGTACGGCGGGCTCACCATTTTGTGGTTTATCACTGGCAAGCGAACGAGCGACTGAAGCGAATCATATGGAGCGATGCGGAGAATGGCTAACGAGCCAACTAACTGAGACAAAGCATGATTAAGAATTTATATTCATACAAAAATAAGACAGACATGTGACCAGCGAGATAGGCATGCACACACAAGCAGACTGGGCAGGCACACTAGCGAGGGTATATGCGAATGGGTGAATGAATGAATGAGATTAAAATGTTCGTATGTAAACACAGAAAAATGCCTCAGTCATTGTGATATTTAAGAGAATAATATTAAAATGAATATGTACGTAGGTGTTCACAATGTTCAGTCATACCAATTCATACAAATCACACAATAATAAAGGCCAATGGTACACATAGGCGATTGTTATACAAATGACCTGGTTAAGTAAATTAACCGAAAGGCTTGAACTAATAAAATGTAAGCGAATTCAAATATATATGAGGTCACTACAAATATCTAAACAGAATTTTATGCGAATAAACGTTGAAGACTGGTTTTCTTCGGAAATATAAGAGCAATATCTATTTAAAACGGTAATCAGTTTGTTTTAGGTTTTATATGATAATTACTGTAGATATCAATAGTGGAAATGTATGAACGTTCATATGTAGTTGTGTTTCCGATGGAATCAATACATACAGATTTACGTGAAGTAACTACACTGGACATTTTTATTTGTCTGAGTTTATTTCTCATTTTTCTTAATATTTGTGATTACAGTTACCATGAAATGATGCATTGTGTAGCGCCACAACCAGAATTACTGATACTTATTGGCATCAAGCTATTAATAATGGTGTGAAAATTGATAGCTGAACATATTATTGTCCACTCAATCTTGTTGGAGCTAAACGAATGCTTTAGTTTTGAAGTGCACTTGATTATCAGTCATGTTATAAATTCTGAACTGATTTGTATTTGAGCATCAGCGTATTCCATTTTATAGTACAGTTTGTGTAGTTTGAGACAGGTAATGCAATTTAATTTAAGGATTATTACTGTTCAGACTAGTTTTTGTTGTTTGAAGCAAGGCTTACCAGTTTGGAATAATGAAATTCCTTCTAAATTAGTGCAAACATTTTATTCCAAAAAGTTAATTTCATGAACTCAATTTAAAGCGATAAAAACGAAAATAACAATAATAAATTTAATTTTCTGACCTCTAAATATTCATCATGGGATCTGTGAAGATTTCAGAGTTTCACTGTAGTCATGAACTGATCAATGTTAGACCACTATCAGAAACCTGGAAGCTCAACAACAGTGAACATCTACGACCCTCAAACAGGATTCAAGTCAAGAACCTTTGATCTTGCGCGCGAATGCTCAGCGTCCAGACCACTGGATCGGCATCCAACGGTGTTTGATGCTGATGAAGTTTCTTTATATACTTCGTCGTTTACATGCTTTATCATCCACAGAGCTCTTCGCAGGATACATTGTTTTTCCGAAACTCTGAATTTCTTTTTCAGTAGTGCCATGATTGTCGGGTTAGTATATACAGG